TTGTTTTTGTATTGGTAGTAAAAAGTAATTTTTATTAAAATTTCATCAATTATAACAAAAAAATAAACATTAACTAAGAATTACTTAAAAAAATAATTTCTGCGCGTTAAATTGGCTCTCTAGCCTAATGTGAGCCGGGGTAAAAATTCGGATTAAACACACATGTAATGCTGTGCAGTTTGCGGGATACGTATAAGAACTGTTGGTAAAAAACAACTCTGGGAGATCAGTGTAAGGCGATGCCGATGGGGCCAACCATACGTTCTTATGCCCATACTCACTCAAACTCAAAAATTTCCAATTGGAATTTTAAGGTGTGCTAATGGTAATAAAACCTTTTACTATCGGAATCAGCGTTGCCTGGTTTGGGGATATTTTCAGATCTGATGATTTTTTATGTATCTGGGGATCTGAGTAAAACTTTTCCAAAATAACACGTTTCTGGGGATTTTTAGAAATATAGAAACCATAAAATAAGACAATGTAAATAATCCCCTTTTTAAAATTAAATTTTCTCCTTAATGCAGCTCTGTATAGGCTTCAGTCACCATGGCATCCATGGTATGTTCGTATTAATATGTCTATGTCTGTTACACAACCAAGGATACTTGAAACAAAATAGTCAACTCTGTTTAAAAAGCTTGCTTTGTAGATTCCCGGTGGTAGGCGGTCCTTTCTCGTGACGTAATCTTTTCTTTTCAATAGCCATGTTTCTTTTGCCAAAAAAGTCAAATTAAACGAGCCGAGCGCGTTTTTGTACGTGTCTGAGACTCTTAGCACCGGAAGTCGACTTTAAAATGGGACAAACCATAAATAAACAACCATACCAATGTGGGATTCAAACCCATGACCTCCCTGCTTGTAATCAGCAGCACTGACCACTAGTCTCCACCGTGGGTGGTAAATGATAAACTTCTACATCTCAGCGCGTTGAAAAATTTAAATAAAATAATAATATATCTAATAAATGTTCATGAAGAAGAATCGTTTTTGATGGATTTTTTTGATTTATGTAAAAAAGTTAATATTTAAAGATTTCCAAATAAAACAATGCAATATATCCTGTCCAAATATCGAAATATTATCTTTGCAAATTAATTTTCAACAATTACATATTTCCCTTATTTGTCTCTATAGACCTCCAAATACAAGCATAGCCACTGATAACCAACTTACATCATTAATTTCAGATTTGTGTTCTTCTAAATCAAATATATATAACTGGAGACTTTAATCTTCCCAATTTCTCGTTATATAATACTCAAAACGAAAATAGAACAACGGCCAATAGTATTTATCACAATTTATTTCTGGAAAATAATTTAAATCAACTGATTTCTGAACCCACACGGTATCGTGTAAATCAAACTTCTTCAATCTTAGATTTTCTTATAACAAACGACACACAACTATTATCAGATATATCATATCTTCCCCCAGTAGGAATTTCTGATCATGTTCTTATCTCGACAAACATTCAAATTAACCACCGACCTCACAAAAATTACGTATGGGTGGAAAAAGAAAAAAAAAACTACACAAGAGTGGGACAAACACTAACAACGTTGGAATGGAATACCTTTCTTGAAAATTTTTCGGTAAATGTACAGTGGAGCAATTTTGAAAGAGAAGTCAAAAATATATTAAAACTAAATACCAAAAAAATATTTACCAAGGCGGTTCTAGAAAAACCTTGGATTTCATGCGATATTTTAAAAGAAATTCGAAGAAAAAAATCTTTATGGCAAAAGTTTAAACGTAGCTCAGCAAATGAAGATTTCATAGCCCACAGAATCTTTCCAAACAATTTATCTCTAAAAATTAAATTGGCCAGGACACTATACGAGCGGACACTTATTTCATCTGGAAACCCAAAAAAAATTTATAAGACTTAGTATATTCGAAATGGTCTAAATTCCAAAGTAACAATTCCTTTAATTAGAAAAGAAGATGGAAATATCTGTTCAAATAATCTGGAGGTAGCAAGTACCCTGGCAATTTTTTTCTTTTCCTCCTACACTGCAGAATTAAACACACATATGCCGAAAATATCAACATCGAAAAATAACTCGTCTCTGGCTACTATAGACTTTAGCATTGAAAATGTAAAAAAACATCTTGGGCTATTAAAGAACAACAAAGCCCCCGGACCAGATAATTTAAACTCAAATTTCCTTAAACAATTCTCTGATCAACTAAGTGTTCCATTATCAAAAATTATGCAAACATCATTTGATACATCTGAATTACCAGCTATGTGGAAAACAGCTCTAGTAACCCCTATTTTAAAAAAGGGCGATAAGTTGGATGCCAATAATTATAGACCTGTTTAGTTGTTATTGCTGCAAAAGTCATGGAATCAATAATTGTTGAAAAACTGACACCTTTTTTGTTGGAAAAAAGAGTACTACCGGACTGTCAACACGGTTTTCTTCCAAAACGTTCCACCATAACGAACTTGTTACATTGTGTAAATGACTGGACCCTCAATAAAGACAAAAACAATCCGACCGACATAATCTACTTGGATTTCTCGAAAGCGTTTGACAGAGTTCCCCATACTAGATTAGCTTTCAAATTAGAACACATGGGTATTACAGGAAAACTACATGCTTGGATTTGCAGCTTTCTAAGAAACCGCAGATTTTGTGTTAAAATTGGTGAAGAGGTGTCTGATTTCCTTCCAGTTATTAGTGGTGTACCCCAAGGGTCAGTTTTGGGCCCGATACTTTTTCTCTTGTACACGGCGGACCTATCACCCATGTTAAGATCAAAATGTTCATTTTTCGCTGATGACGCAAAGTTGTATGGAAACCCAACTACCAGCCAGGATATCCTACAAAATGACTTAATACAAATTGAGCACTGGTGCAACAACTGGCAACTACCACTTAATATCGACAAGTGTGTTATTATGCATATAGGGAAAACAAATCTAAAGCTGACTTACCACATAAACCACAATGCTTTAAAAACAGTGGAATCTCACCTTGATTTAGGAGTATGGATAAGCAGCGATTTAACATGGTCTAAACACATTGAATCCTCCTGCAGAAAAGCAAACGCACTAAAGTATGATACACAAAATTTTCACTAAACCCAACCCACAAACTGCATGCCAAATCTATAAAACATATATACGACCAATATTAGAATATGCAGGGCCTGTCTGGTGTCCGATTCTTCAGCGTGATGAAAACTTATTGGAATCCATACAACGAAAATCCACAAGGCTCCCATACGGATTCAACAGACCTTCGTATGAAGAAAGGATGCGCGTAATGGGGTTAACGTCATTTTAAGAGAGAAGGCTGAGAGGAGATCTTATAATTTGGCGAATAATCCACAATCAGTTTGGAATTGACTTAACAACCTTACTTGACTTTAATCTTGACAATCGGCTTCGTGGACACAGGTTCAAGTTATCTAAAGAACGTTTCTGTACGAAGTATGTATGTTACTAACCGTGTGTTTGAACATTGGAACAGTTTACCTAATGAAACAGTGTGTACTAAAACTGTGAATCAATTTAAGAACAGTTATGACAGGTTTAGATATTAGTTTTTATACCTTAATTAATTTACTTTTCTTTTTATTTCCTCTTTTTTGTAAATATCATTCTGTTATTATAAATTGTATTCATGTATGCATTTAAAAATTTGAGTTTATAGGATTTTATCCTCTACTCTGTAAGTGATAATAATAATAATAATAATACCATGTTAAAAAAACGAAAAATTTGAGTTTATGTTTTCACAGGATTATACGTGACCCACGCTTTACATACGACTTAAATAGTATATTACACTACAAGGGCAGAAAGTGTGAGATTCCTGCCGAGGGCATCATGGCGCGCAGTTCAGGGCTCTCACACTTTCTGCCCGTGTAGTGTATACTATTTTTCTTACTACCTCGGCCGAAAATACAACCCGGCCGAAAATACGGGAAAAAATTAAATGTGTATATCGAAACATATTGATGCCTGCCCAAATTTTGAGGTTATATTAGTGTCGTAATCAGAGTTGCATATGTTGAGCACACGACTAAAAAATTTTTACTCCCGCTATTATAGAGTGTACGCGTATAGCTTGACCAATGCAAGAAACGTAAACTTTCTGCCGTGAAATCGGGGACGAAACAACGTATTTTCAGTCGAGGTAGTAAGAAAAATAACTTTACATATCTCTATATCCAAGTTGTATGGTGACATATCGTCCCAATTATCATATAAGGGTGTATCTCATATTTAAAAATTGTACAGAGCATTTTAAAGATTGGAAGTTTTTAGCCAATTAAAATTATTTTTTGGAGTACATTTAATGTAATTACAATACCTGGTAGCACATTTTTTTTTAAATAATAAAGTAAACTGGCTAAAAACTTAAATCTTTAAAATGCTCTGTCAAATTGTTTAATATGAGATCCTGCCTTATTTGATAATTCGGACGATATAACTGGGTATTGTTATATTAGGGTTGTAGGATATGTAGGTATTTGCCATTAAAAATAAAATAAAAAAAAATTATTTCAAAAGTCCTATAACTAGGGTTTCAAGAAATCAAAATGCTGTAAATAGAAGAATTAACTAGAAAATATAGAAGTATAAAAATACATAAAAGATTTAAACAAATTATTTAAGCCATTATAATGGCTTATAATACCTATAGGTATATAGGTATACCTATATATAGGTAAAATTGCTAATGTATTAAAAATAAATAAACATATTTTTTTAAATTAAAATAAAAAAGGACTAAACTAGTATTGATTAAACATTATATTTTAAATCCAACACAATAGATAAATAATATAAAGGAAACATTGCAACTATAGTTTTTTTAAATCTAAAACGCTAAAATATAGAAGATTTTGCTTCTATATTTTAGAAGCAGAGAAGATAGATAAAAAACTACACTATTGAACTACCCATATCGCGTGGTATAGCGTTAGTGTGCCATTTTTAGGGACCCTTTACAAAATATGATTTATACATTTCTTACCCAGCTTGTTCATCAATCTCAATCCCTATATGCCTAGACACAGTCTTAAGTGATCCCAATGAATCACTAATTGCTTCCAAGTGGTCTTCCTGCTGCCTAGTAAGGTACTGTTGTTGTGATAATGTTTCATTTAAAAAATGCCTTTGGGGACTATCTAAATCATTTTCTAACTTGGAATATTTTGTAGTGCCATGGTTATTTGTGACTCTTACTGGACTACTATCCAAGAGTGGCTATAAATAAATCCATGTTAAATAAAGTTAAATAAAATAAAATATATTTACTTGTCTTACAGTTCTATCTCGATCTCTTTCTCTGTTCATGGCGATTTTATCTTTCATAGACTAAAGTAATTTTTGTTAGTTTCAGCATATAATACATAGGTATTTAAGATATTGACATACCTTTACTTCCTCTCTGGTGGTTTCAATAAAATGTTTCCTTATTGTTAATTCTTTATTATCAATCTTAAATTTTGAGGGATTTTTCTCAACAATATGTATCTACTATTAAGGAATAATACCCTGCATAAAATAGTTATACCCAAGGTTATACCTTCTTTATATTATTTTAAGAATAAGTGTTGAAAAAAATAATGTTCTTAACACTGGCATGATTTTAATAATAGCTAAATATGTGCCACATGCCACTGGCATACAGTGCTTGCAATTTCAAGTCCGACCGCACTGGAAAGGACGGCTGTTCAATACCCGCGTGAAAAGAACAAGGATAGAACGCCAAATAGAATTTGATTGGCTAGAGCCGGCTGCCGGATGCGTGCGAATTGTAAGCGAGGTCAAATCTGGCCAGTCTGGCTGGATTTAGACTAAATGATTTACTAAATCAGATTTAGTGTTAAGCAAACTGCGTAAGAGTGTAGATGCACATTTTAATTTTCTTTTTAAATATTTTATACCTACCCGAATCCAACAACAAAATAGTATTCTTAATAAAAAAGATTTCTCAAATAAAAAATAATTCTGAATAAAAATAACTATAAATAAAAATAAAACTCTAAAAATAAATAATAAAAATAAATAAACTCAAAAATTAAATTAAATGTTCGAACAAGCCCCCATAGGCAGCCAAACAATAGCCTAACCTATTATAAAAATTCCCACGCACATTAGCTAGGACTTCTGGACTAATATCCCCCAACAAATTAGTTATGCGGATTCCTAAATCATTGAGGTTATTAGCCCGATCTTCCTGGAAAACGTACAGCTTCGACTTGAGGTACCCCCACAAAAAAAAATCACACGGCGCCAAGTCCGGTGATCTAGCTGGCCAGAGAATTCCTCCTCGACCCATAATAAGACGAGGTCCAAAAGTGTCGGAAAGGAATTCCCGAACAGCCATCGTATTATGTGCGGGGCAACCATCCTGCTGAAACCATACGTTTTCGATGTTAACTCCGTCTAAATTTTAAAGCGCGGGAACTATTTGGTCTCTTAAGAGATTTAAATACCTAGCGCCATTTAAATTCCCATTTATAAAAAATGGGCCAATTATTCGGTCGCCCAAAATACCCGCCTAGACATTAAGTTTTTGGGGATACTGTGTCCGAGCTGCATAAATCCTACGAGGATTTTCTCGCGGCCACATTCGAAAATTCTGCGAATTGTGCCTGCCATGGAGAGTAAATGTCGACTCGTCAGTAAATAAAATATTACCGATAAAATTTGGGTCGGCATTTGCTCTCTCCATAACAACCTCGCAAAATTCCATGCGGCGGAATGCGTCGGCAGGGAATTGCTCGTTTCCCCGTCGCAGCTTAAATGGACGATATCCATGGCGTCTTAGCACATTTCGTGCCGTGGAAGCTGAAATATCAAACTCCCTAGCCACCGTACTTAATGCCTGGGTTGGGTTTTCTTCAATTGACGCGCAAATTAAAGTATCCCGCGCTTCTCTATTTAGATTTTCACGGGGAGGACGTTCCCGTCGGAGCTGCATCGGAACTACACAACCGTGCGTGAGAAAATTATTAACGGTTCGTCGAATTGTTTCTCTGTTTGGTCTGGCCTCGAACATTCCCGCAAATAATCTTTGAATTTCTTGTTCAGAATTACCAGCAAAATGCCAGATTAAAATCTGAACTTTTTGTTCCAACGTGTACATTTTTTAATTAAATAATCTTTTTTACTAAAATTACTACCTCTTGCTGGCACCACTGCAGTTCTCGTTCACGCTGCGAGGTGCGCGATGGGTATGCGTTGTCGTAGCCTGCCGGCTGGCCAATCAAATTCTATTTGGCGTTCTATCCTTGTTCTTTTCACGCGGGTATTGAACAGCCGTCCTTTCCAGTGCGGTCGGACTTGAAATTGCAAGCACTGTATATTAATATTGTTATAATAACTATCATTATTATATTAACCCATTTACAACTCAAATATCTTGTTTATTCACCAACAATCATAGTACCATTTCAAATGGAGCATATGAATAATGCTGATCTTTATTAAATGGTATTTTATCTTTAACTGCAGAAAAAAAACTACCAGGAAAAAACACAAGACATTTTGGATTTGGGATAAATTAACAATTTTAGGTGCAATCGAGGATACTGCTCTCTTGCTACTGTGCCTTAGATTTCGATAACCAAGTAAACCTTATTTTTACTAAAAAAAGGATATCAATTGTATCTTCCAAATCTTCAAGGTCCCATTCAATACTACGTAATGAGTTTTTTAATTCTGTGTTGGTCCATTCAATTTCATCCTTTGTTATACAAACACTCTCATCCTGAAGTTCTGTCCACCTCAAGTATAAACCTCTAGTTTTGTTCAAAGCTTTAAATACCTCACTAAAAAAAATAAAAAATATTTGTGTGTACCAGAATAATCAATACAAAATATGATTTTGATTAAAAAAGTAAACATGAGAAAATAATACACACATGCATTGTATGGTGCTAGGAAAACACAACAATCTTGAAAGATAAAATTGTTAGAAAAAACTATTTTTCACTGTTTTCATGCAGCTCACAAAGATCTTACTCTTTGACAACAAAAAAGGGATCCTCCAACGTCATGTCAATAAATTTTAGAATTAATATGTAGCACTTTATCAAAAAAGTTCCATAAAATCATATGGAAAATTTCTTCTAGCTCAAATACAGATAAATATTACAAAGTTTGATAAGACTTGTCAAATGACATTGACAATTTCTTGAAATAACCCTACATTTTCAACCCTCTGAAACGAATACATTATTTTTTACACTTACCATTCTGTTTAAGACAAATCCTAGTAAAAATTTATTAAAACCTTTATATCAATTCAATCGGTATGTTTGGTTATCATATTTAACGTAATAGTTTAAATAATGCATATTATTAACAAATTAATTTTAAATTACGCGGTGTGAATTTAGTTATTTCTACAGGATAACCAACACTCAACTAAAATTAAAACAGAGACGCGAGATAAACTTTTATTATATATCAAAGAGAGACAAAAGACGCCCAGAATAGATGGCAGCACGGTCTTCCTTTCATGTTGGGAAACTTTTTGCAAATGGCTCTTTCCGGTTCACGCTGCATAGAGTAGACGTGAACGTAGTGTATTTTTATTAAAATCACTTATCCTTAGTGGATATCAGTAAGTAATATAATTATTTTTCATTAATTTTAAACTTCTTTTTAATTAATTAATGTTAAGAAAGTGATTTTTTGCTTAAAACATAAAAATGGAAATATAGCAGCATGGCACGTGTTTTTGGGGTGTTTTTAGGCGTATAATTATGATAATTCTCAATTATTATATTTGTTTAAAATCTTCCTTGTTTATATGATGAATATACTTATTTTTCTGACACCTCTTGGCTGAATAAACCTTGTTGATACACAGTATTTCACTGATAACCTATACTTATGTTTACATGCTTTACATGTTCTAAGGGTGATTTTATAAACATAAGTTATTTATTTTAGCAATAAGTAAACATGGATGTTGATGATGTGGTAGAAGCCGCGCCTAAAATCGCTGAAGTTCCTGAAATCAAACTGTTCGGTAGATGGAACTGTGATGATGTACAAGTTTCAGATATGTCCCTTCAGGTTGGTAATTTTAATATTGTTTAACGAAGAGTATACGTTTTAACGTGATGAACTTCATAAACATTTTATTTTCTGACACCTCTTCAGAATGTACAGTGGTGATTTGTATATCTGACAAAGAACCACCAAAATATCTTTAAGCTTGTATTTCTTTAATGTTTCTAATTATTTTTTTGTTGTAGGATTACATTGCAGTAAAAGAAAAAAATGCTAAATACCTTCCTCATTCAGCTGGTCGTTATGCTGCTAAGAGGTTTAGAAAAGCACAATGCCCAATTGTGGAACGTTTGACAAACTCCCTTATGATGCATGGTCGTAACAATGGAAAAAAACTAATGGCTGTCCGTATTGTAAAGCATGCCTTTGAAATCATTCATTTGCTTACTGGTGAAAACCCATTACAGGTAAGAACATATTTTTAAAATTTTTATAACTTGTTTAAACTCAAAATCATTAAAAAATGTTTTTTTTACAATGGTCTTTTGACATATTTGTGTTTTTTTAGATATATAATGTTGCTGTTGAATTGCTGTTTTCAATAAAAAAAGAATGTTTTCAAAATTTAATGATATTTAATTTTTTTGGGGTTTTGAGGAATGGCCAAATGCTGAAAAATATTATTTGTGGTCTTTAAACTATGTACAGGGTGATCTCATATAATGTTGCCCCCCTTTAACTTTTTTATTTAAGTGTAGGGACTAAAAAATACTTTTTGATTTAAATTCTGTAACTCAATAGACAAGGTTTGCCCGGTTAAAAAATTAATTAATTAATAAATAATTAACACGTTAAACGCCACGGCGTTTTTGGTGATTTTGTTTATTGGGCCAAGTTGTTTTTTTACTTGTATCATTTTAAAAAATAAAATTGTCAAAATACAGATTAAAAAATAAATAATTAAAAAACTCTTGTATCTTCGTCAGCCGTCAGGGCCAAGCGGTCCTATGCATGCTTTAAAATACCTTATACGAGCGGTCCGCTGGCCAGAAAATCATGTTAAACTGTTAAACAAAAAATTGACAGGCGGTCCCTAGGGACCGCCGTGGCCTGGATGGAAAAAGTATTAGCGGTCCCCTGGGACCGACGTGGCCGTTAACGTGTTAATAAATAATAAAAGGGTTTCTTACAAATTAAATTTTATTTTTTGTATTTTGAAAAATGGGCAAACTTTAAAAACATAAATGCCCTTCAACATGTGTCTTTGAGGTACTTGTCAGATTTTTCGCCAAATACAAATTTAAGTTCATTAAAAAATATACATTTATTTGGAGTAAATAGATAAAATAAATAAAAATGCCCAATTTAATAAAAAACTAAAAGTTCAAATAGAAGGGCGAAATTTTATTTGGGGTTGGGGTAGGGCAAACATTCTAAATTATTATAAATGCTATGTAAAGGACTGCTTTAAAAGCAGTTAACTAGGCTTTTGCAATTTCTTTTAAAATCACATATTTTTTGTGTGCTTTTTTAAATTGGGTTAATCTTGTAACCCACTTTACATAGTTTAAAAACCGTCTAATAATTTTCAGAGTTTGCCTATTCCTAGATATGAAAAATGCTCAAGCATTCATTTTTGGAGAGCGCAAATTGAGCACAAATGAGAATACACCAGCATAAACGAGAAATTTACTAGAATTTATTAACAGCATGGCAGAATTAGACCATTTAACGTTTTTTGTCAATGTTTCTTATTTTTCTTGTTTATTCTCAATATTCTCTTAAATGTTCTGATTTTTCTTAATATTCTCAAGAAGGTTATTAATTTTCTCAATGTTCTTGAGAAGATGATCAGTTTTTTTAATATTTTTACAGGTCTTTTTCATAAGCCTTTTCTTTATTATAAAACTTATTTTTGCTAAACAATTTAATTAAATCAATAAAAAATATATGGTTTTATAGTATACAGGGTATCCGTTTTTCGAGGCTAAGCATGGGTAAGTATCTCGCTTATTTTATTTTATTTTTATTTATAAAGCTATCAGAAAGATTTTGGCAAATTGAATTCCCCTTGAAAAGGTTTTGAAACCGTTTTTTGAAATTAAAAATAAAAATTACAAATTCTCGTCTTCTACAATGTCTCTTAAACTAAAAATGATAAGTCAAATTGCTTTTTAGATCATTGATTGGCATGCAAATTATTACTAATTTAACCAACTATGTATCTCTAAAGATAAATGAGATACCCATGCTTAGCCTCGAAAAACGATACTAAAATACTACATAATAACAAAAATAATGAAAAATTATAAGTTATAAAAAAGGAACAAAAATCATTCTTCTTAAACCACACCAATTCAACTGGTGAAAGGAGGTTCTGGACCGTTTTTTAAAATAAAAACCATAATTTTCAAATTTTTGTCATTGAAAGATGGAGAAATAAAAGGCCCACCACCAAACATTAATTTTCCACATGGTTTTTGAGAAATAAATTATGTTTTATAATAATAATAATAATAAACTTTATTGGAAATCCAAAAGGCTATGTTTTATATATACATTTATATAATAATTAATTAGGAGTTAAAATAACACTTAATACTAAAATTTCATAACAGGAATATTTATATGAAATTTTAAGTGCTAAATAATTTGACACTTTAAACAATTTCATATTTTTTTTAAGTTGTTTTACCTATTTATTAACTATATATTTATAAAAATTTACATTTTAAGACAAAGACAAGGGTCGCAATGTGGCCACTTTTATCGCATTTTACCTTTTAGCGATCAAGCATTTTGCCGAGAATTTTTGAGCATATTCAATGGAAAGTTCTCGATTGTGCTCCAAAATGCACGGCCGGGAAAGTGCGCGCAAATTCATTTGAAGCTTCGCGAACGTTCTCTGAGCACAATAGAAAACGTTTATAACACTATGTATTTTCCAAAATCTCAAAACAATATTTATATATAAAATATAATTTAAAAAAGTTTATCCCCTTTCCTTTTTTTTTAAATTGTGCAAACCTCATCAACTAACTCCAAAAAACTACATAATTTCCAACAAATTTTGTTCATTCTAATATTAAAAGAGTAAACTTTTGAAAAAAATAATACATAGGCAAACGATTTTACATAAAGCTGTTATAAATACTTAATTGTTTTTAAATTAAATTTTTGTTGACCTTATGTATTTTTTTGCGAAAATGGACAACCTAAATTATTGATAGGCAATGAAGGGCACTCCTTGGACAAACAAATTTTTTTCAAACTTTGTTTTGTCAACTTTTCGTTTCCCTCTTCTAAAAAATGTTTGAGTATATAACCTCCAGTCTATAGACACTAGTGGTGTAAAAAAAGATATAAGTAAATCGCTAATATAAATACATTAGAGATGCCACGAATAGTTATTTGGCCGAATACCGAATATTCGGCGAGACTCTTGGCCGAAGCGCCGAATATTCGGCAACACTTTTTGCGGGTTCAATTCGTTCAGTTCGGCCGAACCGCGGCCCCGGCTTTTACCCCGTGTCAAAGAAAGACCGCACCATTCAATCTCGCCGCCATATAAAAGGCGCCGCTCCGACTTGTGGAGCTGAGAAGTAAGCTGCGGTAGTACGTAGGAGGAAGTCGCTGCAGAAAATGTACATTCAGATGAGGGCGTGGAACAGAAAAGTTCGGTTGCAAATGAACTTAAATTCTACATGTCATCTGTTCACTTAGATCAAACAGCAGACCCTTACAAGTGGTGGTCAGCAAACGCAAAAAAATATACAAGTCTTTCTCAATTTGCTAATATTTATTTATCATCTCCCGGTACCAGTGTATATAGTGAGCGGCTGTTTTCGGAAGCAGGTATAATTTATGAGGAAAAACGCAATCGTCTGTCAACAACAAATGCTGAAAAAATTGTTTTTATTCATCATAACTTACCACTGGTAGATTTTAAATATTAATATATTAATTTATTGGTTAATTAAACATATTTGTGAGTAATATTTTTAGTTCTTTTTTTCATGATTTGCTATTCGGTATTCGGCCGAATAGTTTGCAATATTCGGCCGAATAGCGAAAAAAGTGGCCGAATACCGAATAGTTGCCGAATATTCGTGGCATCTCTAAAATACATGTACTTTAGTCGGTTTTTAATTTATAACATAAATGTATACATTTATAAATAAACAGTTTTTATTAGATAGGTACCATTTTAAAATGATGATTTATTAATATTTCTGACACCTCTTCAGAAAAAAATTGTTGTTGAAAACACTAATAAATTAATCTGAGAAAATCAAGTTTGAAATTAAAATTAACTTTAATAATATCAAAACTAACCATGGCGTTATCTGTGTAGGTGGTTGTTACCGCCATCATCAACTCCGGACCACGTGAGGACTCCACCCGTATTGGTAGGGCTGGTACAGTAAGGAGACAGGCTGTTGACGTGTCACCCCTTCGTAGAGTTAACCAGGCTATCTGGTTGCTTTGCACCGGAGCACGTGAAGCCGCTTTCCGTAACATTAAGACCATCGCTGAATGTTTAGCTGATGAACTTATCAACGCCGCTAAAGGATCGTCAAATTCTTATGCCATCAAAAAGAAGGATGAGCTTGAACGTGTCGCTAAATCTAACCGTTAATTTTATATATTTACTGTTCTGTATTTAATCGTACAGATTCAATAAAAGTTTTGTAAAAACCAACATTGTTGTTTTATTGCATTCTTTGCACCTTGGCAGAAATAATTATATTAATAAACAATTATTATTAATTTCAGGAAAAGAATTGAAGAAGAAAAATATGAAGTAGTTGCCTCTAAAATTGCAGAATGGGAATTAATCTATCTCAAGTAAGTACATTTATTATTGTTAATAACTTGTTAAAAATGTTATTTTTGCGTAAAACAAAAATTTACATGATGAATATACTTATTATTCTGACACCTCTTGGCAGAAATATTCTTGTTGATAAACAGTATAAAACTGATGTAAACTATACTTTTTATTAACACCTTTCAGAGAAATTTTATTTAAAAATATATTAATTTTAGGGAAAAAACAAACATAGATTGAAGAATGAAAAATTTTACAGAATAAAGAAAAAATTAAACTTCCTAAAATTTAGTGGATGAGACTATGATGTTTAATATGAGTCCTCTTCAGGTTTGTACTTACTAATAAACGTTTGATAAATGAGGCCATTATTTGCAAAAGTCTCGAATTGACAAAATAATCAACATTTGCGTTTTTTGATAATTTCATCAGATTTTTTTCTTCTTTGCTATATAAAATCGGTTAAAAAGTTATCGGTTATTTTCAAAACTTTCTGTACATCCATTTAGCCGCTAACCGAAACAGGGGATAACTTCCTTATTGTTTTGCTGTTTAAACATTATGGCGAAGATTGGATAAAACTACAAGAATAAGCCTTCTACAAAATTATTCAAGATCAAGCTTCTAAAATTTAAAAAAAGTGAAGATAATCAAAACGTAAACGACACTAAAATTATTTAAGTTTTTTTAGTTTGCAAACTAATTTTTGTTTGTGTTCCAAATACCTTTTTAATGTTAACATTTGTTTAACGAATTAACGTTTAATTTCACTGTGTTTACCTTTTTCTTTTCAAAACTATTTGCAAAAACTATTTTTTTTCTGAAAAACTAAGATTCATATACGATTATCATATTTATTTTTCATGATATTAATGTATTAAAAAAAAAATTGAACCGACAAAATAATTTGAGTTCAAGCTAAAAAGCTTTTTGTTGCTCCTGAAAAGTAAACCAAATAGCAAAGAGAGAGTTTTGCAAATAATGACCCCAAATATGATATATATGTACTTATAATTAAAATTATCGGTTTTATACTTTTTATAAGAAGAATATATCTGCCAAGAGGTGTCAGAAATATAAATATATATATATATATACTTGTTTTTTGTTTCACGCATTTTAGAACATTTATAATAAATAGTATAGAGTACTATACTTTATCTACTCCAATAAGTAGTTAATTAAATGATTTTCAAAAATAAATAAAAAAAATCTGACATCTGTCAAATGGTTAAACTTACTTTTTACCAATTTTAAATGTAATTATAGTCGCCTTCACCCGATTTGTTCAAATCACTGAATATTGAAATCACTGATGCCTAACAAAGTGAATATTGAGTTTATTATTCAAATTGTTAGGCAGGAAATTTATAATGTTTAACAATATTCACGGAAAAAAATCCAACAGTATGCTATAGGAGTAGATAGTCTATTTATTCATCAGTATTTTATTTATTTCGTCGCGAGTACCAAACCTTAACTGACTCCTCGACATACCAATATGGCTTACGCAAGCACCTTCCCGAACCTTCCCGCACGTTCCACAATGCTATCGATCGTTCGGGAATCCTCCGCCGTAAACTTAAGAGCGGTACTCGGTACAATATATTAAGTTTAGAAAAAAAACAACGACAAAAAAGGTGAAGTTATGCGACTAAAATCATTAAAGCTTTTAAAATTTTATGGATAAAACATTGATGTTGTTTCAGAAATGCTCTGTTCAGGTTAAAATATTAAGGAATTAACAGATTTTAAAATGATGAATTTCATATAAATTATATTTTCTGACACCTCTTCAGAATGTTTAGTGGTGATTTGTACTTCTGATCAATGTTCAAAACTGCTAATTTTATGTTTTTGTTTGTTCTAATTCTATTTTTTTTTGCAGAATGTTTAAGAAAATGACTTAATGACCAAGAGATTTACAAACCAATTGTTACAACTTCACCACCCAAAATGAATAAAAATGTTTCAGATTCCTCATATGTTTAGGTTAGTAAATTTATATAAAAACTATTGAGGATTTAACAGGCTTAAACATGATAAACTTTATATTTTCTGACACCTCTTCAGAATGTTAAAGTGGCGATTTGTATTTCTGATAAAATCCAAAAAATAAGCTTGTATGAAGTTTTTATTTATGTATGCCCTAATAAAGAGGCGGGAACCTTGTTTTACGGGAACTGCCTGGAACGGACTCGACCGTGTATTGTCGGGGTATTAACATTTGTTTAATGAATTAACGTTTAATTTCACTGTGTTTACCTTTTTCTTTTCAAAACTATTTGCAAAAACTATTTTTTTCTGAAAAACTAAGATTCATATACGATTATCATATTTATTTGTCATGATATTAATGTATTAAAAAAAAATTGAACCGAAAAAATAATTTGAGTTCAAGCTAAAAAGTTTTTTGTTGCTCCTGAAAAGTAAACCAAATAGCAAAGAGAGAGTTTTGCAAATAATGGCCCCAAATATGATATATATGTACTTATAATTAAAATTATCGGTTTTATACTTTTTATAAGAAGAATATATCTGCCAAGAGGTGTCAGAAATATATATATTTCTGACACCTCTTGGCAGATATATTCTTATAAAAAGTATAAAACCGATAATTCATACTTGTTTATTTGTTTCACGCATTTTAGAACATTTATAATAAATAGTATAGAGTACTATACTTTATCTACTCCAATAAGTAGTTAATTAAATGATTTTCAAAAAAAAATAAAAAAAATCTGACATCTGTCAAATGGTTAAACTTACTTTTTACCAATTTTAAATGTAATTATAGTCGCCTTCTCCCAATTTAAATCCGATTTGTTCAAATCACTGAATATTGAAATCACTGATGCCTAACAAAGTGAATATTGAGTTTATTATTCAAATTGTTAGGCAGGAAATTTATAATGTTTAACAATATTCACGGAAAAAAATCCAACATTATGCTATAGGAGTAGATAAAGTCTATTTATTCATCAGTATTTTATTTATTTCGTCGCGAGTACCAAACCTTAACTGACTCCTCGACATACCAATATGGCTTACGCAAGCACCTTCCCGAACCTTCCCGCACGTTCCACAATGCTATCGATCGTTCGGGAATCCTCCGCCGTAAACTTAAGAGCGGTACTCGGTACAATATATTAAGTTTAGAAAAAAAAACAACGACAAAAAAGGTGAAGTTGTGCGACTAAAATCATTAAAGCTTTTAAAATTTTATGGATAAAACATTGATGTTGTTTCAGAAATGCTCTGTTCAGGTTAAAATATTAAGGAATTAACAGATTTTAAAATGATGAATTTCATATAAATTATATTTTCTGACACCTCTTCAGAATGTTTAGTGGTGATTTGTACTTCTGATCAATGTTCAAAACTGCTAATTTTATGTTTTTGTTTTTGTATGTTCTAATTCTATTTTTTTTTGCAGAATGTTTAAGAAAATGACTTAATGACCAAGAGATTTACAAACCAATTGTTACAACTTCACCACCCAAAATGAATAAAAATGTTTCAGATGCCTCATATGTTTAGGTTAGTAAATTTATATAAAAACTATTGAGGATTTAACAGGCTTAAACATGATAAACTTTATATTTTCTGACACCTCTTCAGAATGTTAAAGTGGCGATTTGTATTTCTGATAAAATCCAAAAAATAAGCTTGTATGAAGTTTTTATTTATGTATGCCCTAATAAAGAGGCGGGACCTTGTTTTACGGGAACTGACTGGAACGGACTCGACCGTGTATTGTCGGGGTATTAACATTTGTTTAATGAATTAACGTTTAATTTCACTGTGTTTACCTTTTTCTTTTCAAAACTATTTGCAAAAACTTTTTTTTCTGAAAAACTAAGATTCGTATACGATTATCATATTTATTTGTCATGATATTAATGTATTAAAAAAAAATTGAACCGAAAAAATAATTTGAGTTCAAGCTAAAAAGTTTTTTGTCGCTCCTGAAAAGTAAACCAAATAGCAAAGAGAGAGTTTTGCAAATAATGGCCCCAAATATGATATATATGTACTTATAATTAAAATTATCGGTTTTATACTTTTTATAAGAAGAATATATCTGCCAAGAGGTGTCAGAAATATATATATTTCTGACACCTCTTGGCAGATATATTCTTTTTATAAAAAGTATAAAACCGATAATTCATACTTATTTATTTGTTTCACGCATTTTAGAACATTTATAATAAATAGTATAGAGTACTATACTTTATCTACTCCAATAAGTAGTTAATTAAATGATTTTCAAACAAAAAAAAAAAACTTAAATCTGTCAAATGGTTAAACTTACTTTTTAACAATTTTAAATGTAATTATAGTCGCCTTCTCCCAATTTAAATCCGATTTGTTCAAATCACTGAATATTGAAATCACTGATGCCTAACAAAGTGAATATTGAGTTTATTATTCAAATTGTTAGGCAGGAAATTTATAATGTTTAACAATATTCACGGAAAAAAATCCAACATTATGCTATAGGAGTAGATAAAGTCTATTTATTCATCAGTATTTTATTTATTTCGTCGCGAGTACCAAACCTTAACTGACTCCTCGACATACCAATATGGCTTACGCAAGCACCTTCCCGCACGTTCCACAATGCTATCGATCGTTCGGGAATCCTCCGCCGTAAACTTAAGAGCGGTAAACTTAAGAGCGGTTAAGTTTAGAAAAAAAACAACGACAAAAAAGGTGAAGTTGTGCGACTAAAATCATTAAAGCTTTTAAAATTTTATGGATAAAACATTGATGTTGTTTCAGAAATGCTCTGTTCAGGTTAAAATATTAAGGAATGAACAGATTTTAAAATGATGAATTTCATATAAATTATATTTTCT